TTTGATCAGAAAAGCTCACTTGAGCCTTCAGCTCAGGTGAGCTAAAAACCTTATTGACAAACAGAAGTTCCTGACCGGAAATTAAGATCTGTTGTAAGTCACCTTTGAAAAAAATAAATTTATCGGTTATATCTAATTATAAAGATAATTCAAACCCGAGTATTTTTTCTATTAGTAGAAGCCTAAGCCATAATATATCTTTTAAAAATTAAGAAATTAATTGAATATAATCCAAAGTAATTTTTATATTAATATGTATATTTAAAGAATAAAGGAAAATCAGATATTTTTAAAGATTTTTTTAAGGAAGTTTAGTAATGAAGGCTAAAATATTGTCTGTGTACAGGTACATGTATAAGTACTTTGTTGTGAAAAATGCTCGGGTTTGTTCTACATGAGATAAACACGTAAGCGATAAATTTATTTTCTCAAAGGTGATTTCACGCGATATCAACATAGGATTATTTTTTGTGTGACCTAACAAATTATTTTTTTAACTTTTGAATTTTGATATCTTTTAATAGAAAAGGACTTTAGGGATATAATTTGACAAAAGTTGAAACAATTTATGGACAATTATTTTTCAAGAAGAAAAACGAATATATTTTTTTCGCGATTAGAATCAGACCTAGCGGCTTTAATTAATTATTCATAATGAATTCGACTTATTCATTTGAGGGTTGGGAACCATATTTTTTTATTGACCGACTCTAGTCTATCGCAGTCTAATAATATGTGTTCTGGATGTTTTTTGTGCATTTATGAATTATCGTGCTAGATTTTTTGCATGAAATGCTAGTAGCATGTAAATAGCTGACCACCCTTAAATTTAGATACATTTTGAAAGAAGCTAAAAGCAGGTGACACATGCATTCCTTGGAACACTCTAGTTGTTTTGAGAAAAAAAAAGCTAATCTCTAGTCATATCATTATCTCAATCGAACTTGTATATTTCAACTGTTGTATGCAGTACTTTCATGGTGTAATGCTTATCTATAATAATTGCTAATGCATTATTTTAGGCCCAGTTTTAATTTTCAATGCATATTTTGTAAAATTCAATGTGTATTTCTGCTAATATGCACATTACCCGGAGCTCTGGCTAGAAATAAACAAAAAGTCGCATGTATTTAACTCTTCATATATGTACTATGGGCTATCAAAACAACAACCAAAAATCAAAGATAGTTCTAACATTGTAGCTTTTGAATACTTCTAAGCAAAAAAAGAATTTCTATTGTTAGAGTAGCTATCCACTACCCTGTGTGCCTTCAGGCATGGATAAGTATGATTGCTTCTCATCTGTACTACTAATCAATTATCTTGTTGACCATAATTGGTCTCCTTTATAATTTCATTGCAGAAGTAACTGTATCAATTGCTTTATATAGCCCCAAAATTAAGAGAACTTTGAGTACAATGTTTCTCAAGGAGACTTAATTTTATGAGTGATTTTTCATGTATTATTTTCAATAAACTGAACTGAACTGAATTTTCAGAAGAGTTAAGGTTGAATATCATTACTGCACCAAGGTGCGACTTAATTTTTGTACATGCTGAGAAAATTACACAGTTATTGTACTGGAGTTGGACCTGGTGATTGTACATGTGTTGGACTTGTGATTGTACATGTGTAGGGCCTGGTGATTGTACATAAGTAGGACCTGGTGATTGTAAATGAGTAGGACCTGGTGATTGTACAAGAGTAGGACCAGGTGATTGTACATGAGTAGGACCTGGTCATTGTGCATATGTAGGAACTGGTGATTGTATATGAGTAGGACCTGATGATTGCTAACATGTTGGACCTGGTGACTGTACATGTGTTGGACCTGGTGACTGTACATATGTAGGACCTAGTGATTGTACATATGTAGGACCTGGTGATTGTACATGAGTAGGACCTGGTGATTGTACATGAGCAGTCTAGACGAACTCCAAAAACGGTGGTAACAGAAGTGAGAATTTCAGTCCAGAAAAGACTCCAAAAAACGATTCCACGCATGCGCAGTTTTATCAAAAAATGGTGAAAAGTGGGTCTTACAAAAAGTGCTTTTGAAAAAATTGGATTACAGGTCTTGCAAAATGTAAGTTCTCAGAAATGATTAATAATAAATGTTTCTAGAGAACGTATTTGTTAGGATTTTGATTTCATGTGCAAATAGTTTTTAATTTTAAGTCAAAGTTGACCAACTTTCAGCTTCAGCCAGTCCTCGTACAAGTAGGATACAGAATACATATCAAACAGTCTTAATCTTATTAAAACATCTCTGTAATTGATAATTTGTTTGCAGTGACTAAGTTAGTCATTTTAGAACTACTTTTACTGATTTAAGAAAATGTTTTTGTAAGTAAGGGAAGCTAGCGAATTTTCAGTTGCTCGAATTTCCTTCATCTTTCATATATATCGAGTACATGTACGAATGAATTTAGCATGTTTAGAGTACCAATAAGCAACCACATTGATACATCTTACCAATAATTTAAAAAAAGTACTGAATTGATGATTTTAATCATATAAGAGTCAATCCAGTGACAGTTACCTGAGAATCCACTCAGTTTCCACATTTCCTCTGTTGCTGAAGAGATATCGTATTTGTTAGATTTTTTATTTTATTTGCAAAAACAGAACTTTCAAAGTTCACATTTCAAGTTGGATCAATTACAGAGATAATTAAACGTTTGGGAATTAAATATGCATGATATAATGGAAATATCTGTAAAATTGAATAATATATGTTGTAACTGTTTAAGGAATGACTCTAATTCTTGGCCAAGTTATTCGATTATAACCTGGTTTGGGTCAGTTTACACTTTATAATCCGCGAAGCGGATTATAAAAAAGCGTAAACTGACCCAAACCAGGTTATAATCGAATAATTTGGCCGAGAATTAGAGTCATTCCTTATAATTTAATTTTAAATAATTAAACAACTGTGGGTGTAAAATAGCGTTGCTTTATATGAGTTAAAATTTGCCGCTCAATAATACATCCCTAGTATTAATGGAAGTGATCTGAAACAAGGGAAGGTAATAAGGCCAAAAATAAAAATAGTCTTGTTTCCTGCTACCAGACCTACCCTATTTTTTTGCACCCGACCCTAAAGTTTTTATTTAGTTTTAGGGGGAAAATCTGAAATTTCATGATCCAAAAGTGAAAAAAATATATATATTCAAGTGGTATTTCATGAAATATAAGTTTGAAATATGGACTTTCATAAAACACTACTTATTTTAAATGAAAATATTGACCTATGACATGTTTCATTTGGTTTTGCAATGTTCATATCCAACAAAAACCATTGGGAAAAAAATAAAATTAAATTAAAAAATAAAATAATTTTCCTACCTCACCTACCCTATTTTTTTCAGGCTGGTAGCAGGAAACAAGACTGTTATTTTTTTTTGCCTAACTGACACACAGACCTAGCAGCCATGGTGTTTGTTTACACGAGGTAAGATCGAGCTACTGGTTGAAGTTAAAGGTAGTACATTTATTAAATCTGGAATTTCCCATGAATCCCAAGGACTGGAAATGAGGGTATTGTATGGATACAGATGATTCAGTTGGTTGTCAAGGGGGTGTGTCCCCATACCAAACCAGGTTATTAAGAAATAATTTGCGTTCCTTTTTGGAAATCAACCAGTGAGAGACTACTAGTCTCAGACTAGAATACAAACAAAATTAAATTATTAAATATTGACCGAATTTTACCTTTTCATAATATTATTTCATCATATAATCCTGTGCGACATCAGAATTGCTAGCATATGTTATCATCATCGTTATTTACCTAACTGTTATCACATATGAACAGATATTATCATGAAAACATTTCTATAGACTATATCAATTTGATAACTTTAAAAAATCACTCTTTTAAAATTACAGTAAAAAAAAGCCTTCTCAAAACGAACCTGTTAGTATCTCTGCTCCGCCGCGAAAATTGTGCATTTTTGATAAAATAAATATGATCTAATTAAGTGTCTTAATTGGAAGTAAAATTTAAGCATCTTTATTGTAGGAATGACATAGAATTTAAATCAACGGACGAGACATTGAATTAAATTAAGAAATCAATTCTTATCGATTGTATTGAATCCGATGTCGTATAACATTATCAAAAATCACTATTAGGCCATAAGAAATAAATTGCTAGATTCTCATCCGATTTTTTTAAAAATCGAGGCGGGCGGGCGGCTTTTATGTTATATTTTTTATTTTTTCAATTTTGCAGATTTTTTATTGACTTGGTCAATCGGTGTAATTTTATCTACAATACTCGAATAAAAGGCATAGTATAGGTTCAATTATCTCTTTCTTCACATCATCACCAATCTTTTTCAACCAATGGCCCTTGTTTAAAATATATACATGCATGTATTACAGCAATTACCATCTTTTCAGCTGTCAAACTTTCGCGGGATTTAAAACGAAAGTAGAATGGTAGATGAATACCGATCCCGATCACAATTAAGACGAAGAAAAACAGAAATTTAAAAAATCGAGGCGGGGGTATAAAATCGGGGCGGGCGGGGATGAGAATCTAGGAATATTTTTATTATGGCCTTATGCAAGAATATGAAGCGATAAATAAGTCAATAACCACTAATTAATTTAATTAAGGCAATTATTTTATTCAACTAAAATTTAAATTCAGTAACAGTTTACTAAATACAGCTATTATTCGGTCGTATTTGTGGAAAAGGCGAACGACAATCCATCGTTTGTTTACATCGGACGCCATTTTGCCGCAATGCATGACGGAGCCAAAGACTTCTTTTTTGGAGTTCACGCTGTTTTTGGAGTTCGTCTAGACTGATGAGTAGGACCTGGTGATTGTACATATGTTAATTGGACCTGGTGATTGCATGTATGCTTATGTTGGACCTGGTGACTGTACTTGAACTGATGATTGAATTTGTACAAAAAGCTCACTAGTTGAGCATGTTGGCAAGTTGTAGCATTGAGTCTAGAGCGCATCAATTCTCAAACTTACCTGGTTTGAACTGTGGACACTTGATTTTCAGTTTACCCTCTACTAAACCAAGATGTTCCAGAATTAAATCAACCTTGTGCTTTGCGTCACACGCTTCTGATAACCTCTGATCAAGAAGCATGCACGCCTCCAAAATATTCTTAACATCTTCATGATCACCCATTTATACTGGAGAGGGGTATGTCAGCTAGCAAGTAATGATCAGGCTCCTTTTTAAATATGATACCGGAAGTTTATTTTGTACGGAACAGCACGTCGATTTACCCAAATGGATCCAAACGGACCCAAAAGGAAATAAAATGGAAACCAAATAGACTATAAATTATATATTTTCGTATTAGAAAGGTGTTACTTATTTAAAATGATGTTCAAAATGAACTTACAAATGAAGTATATTTTTATTCATTCCTAATATTGTGTGGCGGTCAGCCGAGTGCGATCGCCAGTGGCCTCGGTAGACACAATCTCTGAACTGTCCGGGGCCACTTCGGCCATATCCGACTCGATCATTTTAATATGTTAACAGTTTGTAATGTTTGTTGATTTATATAAACTGTTGCCATCGTTGAGACTCATCTAATAAATACGGAATCCTTCATCATTTGTTTTATCTCTGGAATTGCATATTGGTGGACCTTCGGGAATACGGCACACCTATACTTCGATTTTACCTTACGGCCACACAGCGCCTCTACTTTATACCTCGTACCTTCTACGCCAACATTTCCTCACCCCGTTCGTTTTACAAACAACGGATGTAGTTCCAGACGAAACCTTAGTACCGTCCAAATCTAAACGGTTACAATATAATAAATATTGAAATTGTTTATTACCTAAAAAATAGGAAATTGCACGCTGCGACAATTTTTAAGCGAGATAAATGCGATAACACACGGTACTCATCTTGAAAAAATCAAGAGGAATTTAATAAAATGGGTAAAATCTGGATATTTTATAGTCTTAGAGTATAATTTTGAGACTATAATTTGATTTATTCCCGCCCATGTAAATTGAAAAACGCCAATGAATTTGTTTATTCTTAATTACTTTCAAATTAAAATTGTTCTGTCCAATGAAATAAAGATCGCTTTTCGGTTTAACCAATCTTTCAATAAACACTCGCGCAACTTAATTTGCTAGGAATAGGTACCCAAACTGGTGTGTTCCCATTTCGCCTTAACTGTGAAATTCGGGTAAGAAAAAGTCAAAAAGTACTAAGGCAAAATGGGAATTTTAATATTTGTAAATATTATTATAATTTAAATTTTAAAAATTGAATTAGATTGAATTTAACAGTTAATTGGAATTTATGAAAACAGTGAATAAAATAATACTTTTAACACCAAATATTGTCTTAAAAATACGTTATGCTTAATATTTTAAATTTTCATCACCTTAATTCACCTGAGAGCTTACTAAGGCGAAATGGGAATGCGAAATTTAACAGTTAAGGCGAGATGGGAACAAACCCCCAAACTACGTTCCACCCAATCATGTACTGCTTATAAAGCAATATGTAATAGAGAGAGTTTAATGAGGTTAAAATGTTTGTTTGCAACTTCAATTATGCGGCGGTTTTTGATGGTTTCTTGATCATGCTGATCACTGTATCAATCAATCGATTAACGGTCAGTTAATGAGTTTACGTGTTTTGAAAAAAATTAACTAACCTGCACACTAGGATTAATGATGGTAAAAAGTAGTTTTTACATGAATTATTATTTTATAAATAATAATTAGTACGATGCAATTAACCATAATTACACATCTATGAATGCACATTTGCATTTCAAAAAATAAATGACATAAAAAAAAGAATTTCCTAAAACTTAAAATAAATATTTAAAAATCACTTTTAACAACAGTAGAACGATGTAATTTAATGAATGAATGTATACAAATACGTACAATGATTTGAGTTACATGTATTATCCTTTTGACCATTCATAGAAAATATCAGGTCAATAAAAATATCAGGTCATGCGTTTCTTTCACGTAGTTAAAGGGTCCATACAGATTTATAACAATATTTTTAAAGATAAACATTATACTAGACATACCTAGCTATACATATATACTTATCTGTACTTCTTTGTAGAAATTAAAGAATAAGAGAACAACAAACACAAATAACACAGATATTTATTTTTCCATCAGGTCAATAAAAAATATCAGGTCAATACATTTCCCTAGTTTATGGCTCGTTCCGCATAATTATACCAATATCTTAAAACATAATTATACTTAATATACCTGCCTTATACCCCAGAAATATAAGAAGAACCAAAAATAAAGATAAACACAGAAAACATGGAGATTTCATAAGTTTTTATTTCCATCAGGTCAAAATCAGGTCAATAAAAATATCAGTTCAATACACTTTCATAGTTTACGGCTCGTTACGCATAATTTTACCAATATATTTAACACAAACATACCTAATTTATCTGTCCTATTACCGATTAATATAAGAATAACAACAAAAAAAAAAACAATGATAAAGACAGAAAAGACAGAGATTTTATAAGTTTTTATTTCCATCAGGTCAATTTCAGGTCAATAAAAATTATCAGGTCAATACATTTTCCTAGTTTATGGCTCGTTCCCCATAATTATACCAATATTTTTTTAAGTAATTATACCTAATATATCTGTCTTATACCCCAGTAATATAAGAATAACCAAAAAGTTAAGATAAACACAAAAAACAGAGAGATTTTATTAATTGTTCCTTTGATAAAGTAATATCAGAAACTGAAATTTGCGTGATCTGTTTTTAAACCTTACATTTATCTGTTAAAATTTCCCCGTGACATAAACACTTGCAACTTAGACATTTCCGATTTTCAATGCATAATGCATGTAAGATTTGTATAAACAAAACTGCCCATAGACCTCTGCGTCTCTGCACTTTTGGTATATCTAAACTTTCTTGTACATATATTTAGAATTATTTAATTTTTTACATGAAGTTTAAACAAATTTCAAATTTAGCATATTTTACTTTAAAGAAAAATTATCTCTAACAAGTATTTAAGAATTATATTTTTTCGCTCTCTCTTAGGGGGGGGGGGGGGTTAACACCCCCCCCCCCCCGACTTCAGTTCGAGAGATCACCAATACATTTCAATCTCTTTCAGAGAGAGAGAGAGAGAGAGAGAGAGAGAGAGAGAGAGAGAGAGAGAGAGAATTGCTGATAAGTGGAGACATACGAAAAATTATCCCGATTTTTTTTTTGTATCCTTCATTAAATTCCAAATTCCGTGCTTTCATAAATATTTCATCAATTTTTTGAAAATTTTGGCCTGATACATAAATGTAATTCAAATATACTCATTTCATTTTAAAATAAATACAACAAATATGTTTCTTGGCGATTAATAACAGAGAAAGTAAAAATTTGTCAAAACACAAGAGTTACAAAAGGTAAACTGTTTTAACATCTCAGGTGATAAAACAATTGTCGTACATTTACCATGAACCACAAATCGCCACTTTCTGACCGTGCGGTATTTGTTTCCAAACATTAATATAATTTTAATTTTATGATTATCTGTCTTTTCATGACTTAAACCGATAAAATATCGTCAATTTATGTAATTAATTATAAATGTTAAAATATTTTTATTTATATATTTATATTAAATCAAAAACCATAGGTTGAGTCGTATGAAATATTTATATCATAAGTTTGACTTAGCTAGGACCTTCCTAAGTTCGCTGTATGTTACGGTTTAAAAAGTTAAGTAGTACTTAACACAAAAAACAGAGAGATATTATAATTATTTTTTTTCATCAGGTCAATATCAGGTCTTTAGTATATCAGATCTTGAGTATCTTCCTTTCCAGAGTTGTCGTTCCACTTATGCCATAGCGAAGCGAACGATAACTCCGGGTAGAGATTGCGGTAGACATGGTAGAGCGGTCGTACTGAATGGTAGACAGACATCTCGGCCCAACGATACCTCGGCCCGTGACGGTTGACACCTCGGCCGTAACAGGTCGGCCCAAAATTATTGACACGTCGGCCAATATCGTTGGGCCGAGGTGTTTGACATTCTACTAAATATTACGCCTGCCGACGCCAGGGAAAATACTCCTACCGAGGAAATCTATACAACAGCCGTGTTATTTTTTGACTAAAGTTATTTTATATTACATATATTACTTTAATAGACTATTTACTTAATGTTTTACCAAACAAAAATAATTTAAAAAGCACAGATTCGAAGTTTTATTCGTTATAGTTTGCATGCGTCGTAGAGCACGCATACCGAGAAAATCTACACTCCCGCGGCGTTGTTTCTCCTATAATTATGTACTATTTTTAAAAATATATTACTTAAATAAAGTACACTGTATTTTGTTGTTTAATTACAAACAAATCAAAAAAAAGAAAGAAAGAAACAGTTGATTTTAATAAAACTCTAGCCTACATACGAGTTTGCAGAAATTTATTAAGGGAGATAACTCCTACGTCACAATTCTTTATATTGTTCATAAGAAATTTCGTAAGACATATCTTAGGAAAATCTTAGGATCATCGTAAGATTATCCTAAGGTGTTTTTCAAAGCTATTTTTTTTTATATTGCCCAATATCACAATTTGCATAAAATTATAAACAATTTATGAGCTTTTTTACATTTTGACTACTTTCATTCACAGACTCTTACTGACTTGCACACAGTCTCATTCTTTAGATCATGATATAAAAATAACAAAATGGTTTGGAAAAATCAATAGTTCATATACACTATATCTTATTACAACTTTACTTAAAACATATATTTACTACTCTATATAGATTTATATTGACAAAACTCTTTATGAAAAACAAACAGTATAAAATATTTTATAATAAGCTCATTGAAATATGTTTTTCCACAAAGACCATTCTTTTTCAAATTTATCTATGCGAAGATTTTTTATAGCCATACATTTTTCAATATTATGTTTCAATTTGATATGATTTAATAAGCCCAAAAGATTTGGAATTTTATCTTGTATTAAACATGTAAAAATGTATTGTTTTGTATATAGTATTATAAAATTCTTGACTTTGTTGTTATATGTCATTGGTATCTCACCTAAAATAACATTTTCAACATTAAAACCAACTCTTTTATTCATTGTTTTGTAAATATGTAAAATGAGATTGGCCTATAGAGATAAAACTTTTTTACAACCAATAAAAAC